CCCTCCGTTTTCCCCCTGGTTGGGTGTGAATCATCGATGGCAGGCAGAGACACAGGATGCACAGTCCCGGATGCCTGTTGTTTCTTTTGTCACACTGGGTGACAAAAGTGTACAGTATGATGAATGACAGAGAGGGGGTAAAGTGTATACAGAAACACTCTGATGGTAATGCTGCCATATATTTTCATGAGTAACTCAGTAATGGGATCGAGTACAATGTTTACAACATAACATTGTTGTTTGAACTACTGGTGTCTTTGTGAACAGACAAAGAATAGAATAAACCTTTATTGTCCATGAATGTGGGGAATTGTCTTGGCCTCCCCAAAACCACTTCCTACAAACATAAAAAAAAAAACTAAAATTATCATTTTGCAGCCGTATGCTTCCAAAAACCAGTCAATTTCATAAGAATAGGACATACAGTATGTCAGGTCACTGACCTTTGACCACTAGAATCTAAACCGTTTATCCTTTAGTCCAAATGGTGCCAAATTTGAAGAAATGCCTCCAGGCGCTGCTGTTGCTAGCGTGGAATAAAAACAAACAAACAAACAAAAAAAAAACATTAAATAAAATGATTTTATGTTAAAATAAATAAAGAAGGATGTAATTTTTTGAATGCATTTTTGGTTGACACTCTATAGTGCCTTCCTGAGTTTAGAGGCTCAAATGAACTGAACAGAGGGTGGGAGCTATCTGCTGGAGCACTCCTTGCGTTCTCCATAGTCCTCCCTGCAAAACGTTGGCTTTAGAGGATTCCCAACAACTCTGCTCGAAAACCTCGAACTATCCTGGAGAACTTATTCCTAACCCTGCAGTTTAGGTGACCACAAAGAAATGTGAAAAATTGAAATGCTCTTGACAAGAATTTTGTACACCATCTTTAAAACTGATAAACATTTACATGACTGAGGTGGTGTTTGCATACACGGCAGTTAATCATATAGTCACTGTTTGGGGTGAAGGAGGGTGAAGAGAAGGGGAGGCAGATTCCTAAATATTAACTAGACACTATTATTGTTGTTATAACTGCAATATACAGGGTACGGACGAATGCTGACACAAGCAGTACTGCAGTACCATGTGATGCTATGATAAGGAAGGAATCCTGCTAAATCTTTGATTTTACAAATGTACAGTGTTAATGGAAAAGACAATTCTCTGTAGGTTTTTATAGCCACCTGACATTTTCTCCAACCTACATTGTCATGAAAAATCATTTTAAACCCTTAACATTTTTAATGAGTAAAAGGCTGTTTTCTAAATGACCTTTGTGTCATCTGAGCTTCTATTTGATAAAATTTAGGTTAAACAAAAAAACCACCCTAAGGCATGTTAATCTGGTTCAGACTGGCTCCGTTCTGTGTGGTCTCGATGAAAATAATACCCTATTTGAGTCATCTATCCTGCAATTCCAAGGGCGTCGTCTCATTATTGATTGGAGGAAAGTGAGGAGATATGGATATTACTAGGCTGAAGGCCACAGAGGTACTGAAGGTGATTCATGGGAGGGTCTTCCTCATAATTCAGGCCGTGGACAAATAGTTCATTTCCAACAGTGTTGGCATTTGAAGAAATCAAATCCTTGAGGTGAATTTAAAACAGGGCCAGAGGCGAATCTCTACCTCGTGCATACCTGGCCGAGGTCTTGCTGTTATTTTCAGTTACCACCATAATATACAGTATGTCTCCTCCTGCTATTCTGGTTCCTTCTGTTTTTTTAGCCATCACTGCAGCATACAGTATTTTGTTGTAGTGGTTGCTATTGTTGCACAGAACCACTAAGCCCATCTGCAAAACAATAATCTTAAAGAGTAGCTCTTGCAGTGGTTCCTTTTTTTGCTGCAGGGACAAACCATTATAATTTACCTGACCATGGCCTTTCTAGTTATTTCTCATCCATATAGCCTCAACCTTTCTTATCCCAGTCAGTTGTAGAGAGCCAATTAACATATTGTGTCCGTGGGAGTCATTCTCCTCAGTTTCCCTCCCTCTGTTTTTGTCGCACTGCTGGCTAGTGGGCAGAGTTACACAAATTAGTGGCTGTGGGCTGGAAGGCTCAATTACCTTTTAAGGACTTGAGAGGTAGCCTGTGTCAGTCTGTCTCAGAGCTTTCTCCAACCCGCTTCGATAAGGGCATAAAACGAGAAGGGGAGCAGGATGGGGGCAGCAACAGGAGAAGAGCAATTGGTGTGCAAGGGCTGGACTGAATTTCTGATCTAATTCCTGTGTCTT